ACACACTAATCAGCACTTGCAGGCATTGGCTGCGAGTGCTGATCAGATGCTGGTTTTCCAGCATGTCCCTTCAACAAAAGCCCTTAAATTGGCTTCTGTTGGATGGGCAGCTGTTTACAAGGTCCGAATGTATCCAGCTTAAAGCAGAGTTCCAGTTGAAAACAAAAAATAAAAGTCAGCAGCTACAAAAACTGTAGATGCTGACTTTTAAAATACAGACACTTACTTGACCCTTGGTCCAGCGGTGTCTTCATCACGGCTGGTTTTAACTGGCTATCTTCTCTCCCCCAGCGCCGGCATCTTCAGTGTGGGCACCCGGCTGTGACAGCTTTTGGCTTCACAGCCAAGTGCCCACTGCGCATGCACGAGTAGCGCTGTGCTTTGTGAATGGCCCCGTAGTCTTCTGGGACCTGTCACGTGTCCCAGAAGACTACGGGGAGGGAGGGGGAGAACAACTTTCGCTTCCGATCGCCTAGGCAAATTCAGGTACCCCCCCCCCCCCCCCCAGCTCCCCAAAGGTGCCAATCCTTAATGTGGAGTGGAAGACAAAGCCTTAAAGCAGAACTTCCCCTTTTGGGTGGAGCTCCACTTTCAGTTGCACACGTTCCCGCACCGACAGCCAAGATGTGCATTCATTCTTAATGGCATCCCCACACATCTGAAAACGCATCATGCAGCTACCTTGGGGGGTGTTTTGGAAAAAAAGGCCGGGGACCTTTTAACCCATGGTTCTCGCTGGTACACAGGCCATTCAAAGGATTAGCTTACAGTTTAGGGGTAACGATGTATTTAGGAAGGGGTTAGTAAATGACCATAGGTTTTTCAGTGAAAAATGTAAGTGATATTAAACCTTCAGTTTTTAAGCACTTTTTGCAGGTGATTTAATCACTTGGCGAGTATGCTGCTTCTTTATCTTTTAATCCTTGTCTATGTTCCCAATAAAGCTGATATCATGATTGCTGCCCCAGGTTTCCTTTTTTGAGGGTGGCTCCTTTCTCTTTTTTTTAATAATTGCCTTTAATATCACTTTAACTTACCTGTTAAGACTGGTAGTTCAGGAAAGCAACACTCAGAGCCAGATTGTTGTAAAATGCAGTTGCTGTGGTAAGAATTTTATCAAATTGTTTACTTGGGGATTGTGCTCAATGTATTAAGCTAAAAAAATGCTGGGGGGTTGATGCTACTTTAATTTCAGTTTTGAAAAATTACTATTTTTGGATACGATGAGTGTGTGCTAAAATAACACATTTAGTAAAAGTTGTTACTGTTCTATTTGATGTGCTAAACCTTCTAGCCCTAACATTCTCAGGAAGAAAATTCAGTCAGTATGATTTTTAGAAATCAATAACAAATATGCCATTCAAACAGCAGGCATTGGCAATAAACCTGCACAACTGCAACATCAGAAACGTATTGTCATCTTATCTATGCATATCTTTTGTGGGGTCCAGGATTTTTCTGGCATTTAAGAAGCAGGTTTTCATGCAAGGAAATTACTTAGAACCCCCAAACATTATATATTTTTTAAATGTAGAGGTACTAGAGAATAAATTGGTGGGTTTGCAGTACTTTATGTCACATGGTATTTGTGCAGTGTTTTTTTTTAAATGCAATTTTCTGGGAAAAAAATACACTTTTTAAAATTTTAATCCAAAAGATACAATACATAACCCAATATTTTAAAATATAAAATAAGATGTTACGCTGAGTAAATAGATAGCAAACATGTCACGCTTTAAATTGCGCACGCCCATGCAACAGCGACAAAGTAAATTTTACTATTCATAGGTGACACTTTAAAAGCCTTTACAGGTTACCACTTTAGATTTATAGTCCATGATTTGAGTCCAATTACTGTCCATGATCTGAAATTTGTGGCGATACTCACATGCGTGGGACGATCGCTGTTTGCAGGTGTGGGGCACTGATGCATGCGTTCACCTTTGCGTGCGAGCATGGGGGAACAGGAGCACATTCATTTATTTTTACATTTTTTAATTTTGACACTGTTGCTTTAATTTTTTTCAAATCACTTTTTATTGCTGTCACAAGGACTGTAAACATCCTTGCAACAACAATTGGAATGTGACAGGTACTCTTTATGGAGGGATCTGGGGTCTATAAGATCCCAAATCCCTCTTCTGCACTTAAAAGCATTTGAAACAACTAAATTTGTGTTTTTGAGTTTTTAAAAATGGCGCCGTTGACATCGGGGGTAAACCAGAAGTAATGACAGGTCATTGCTTCCAGGTTACCATAGCAGAGAGCTGATCAAAGCAGATCCCAGCTTTGTTTGGCCCTCCGACCAGTTATTGGACGTGCCGGCTGGTTGCTCGGGTCTCTCAGTGGGATGGTAGAGCCTGAGCAAACAGTGTAAGGCGACTTGTAATAGCTCTTGAGCTGCTCTAAAAACTGGTACTGGAGTGATGCCTGCAGTTGCAGGCATCATCCTAGTACAACCATTTGAAAACCGGTTATGTACCAGGTACTTGATTGGTCGGCAACAGTATTAAGCTCAAAAGCAAACATTTAATATATTGTAGCTTATATTTCTTTCTTTCATTTTTCACTTGGTGATCTGGCTAATAGGTCTGTTGTTTTTCCAAAGAACAAGTTATGCTGCAAATGTAGCAGTGTGTTAGAGTGATGAGACAATTTAATATTGACTGGGGTACTTACAATGATCTTTTAATTATTTATGTAAAACCTTTATCCCCCTAAAAAAATGTTGCTGCAACTACTTGAGTAAGTTGGAGTTTGGCTTCATTTTGTTAGTGTATTTAAATCTGCTAGTATATCCAACACTACCCTTCCCTCCCCCAGACTGACACTGCTGTTGTCCAAAGGTTTCCCTGTGTTCCTTCATCTAGAGTGGGGGACACTGTATATGACGGAATGCCTGTAACCCCGATTGGGTGATTCTGTCAGAGAAACGCTTCCTCACCACTGGGACACAGGACCAAGGTATTATAGCCAAGCATTGCACCCAAGACTAGACGAGACTAGCTTAGATGCCAAACTGGAACTGTTTATTGAAGAGAAATACAGACTTTTATACACTTCAGGAATGGGGTCAGTCTCCACATGAACAATAAAACCAAATATTACACATTAACATAAATCTAAGCACATAAACATCCCACAATGGTTTGGTAGCAAGTTAAAGTGGACATAATACTAATCACATGTTCCATGAGAACTAGCAGACAGACAGAGACAATAGGTGGCTCAATTAACTCAATTAACAATGGGAATGCACACCTAGGAGGCACAAATCTGTATCCTAGTCACATGGACTTGAATCCAAAGTAAACGACTCCAAGGGTCCCCCCCTCCAGGCACACACCTCCCAAAGAATAGAGCCCCCTCAGATGCCAGGGCCATGGTCAGTAGGCAGGAGGCTTGCCTGCAGTCCCCTCCAAAAGCCTTAAAGAGAAAATGAATGCAGCCACCACAATGATTGGTAATCAACAATATATTCAATTTTTGACTTGGAGTTTAATACCAGTTTAAGTGAAGATCAGAGTTGCTGCTCACAGTAATAGTAAATATTGTAAATTGGTAAACCCAGGTCACTGCTAGAACACATAGAAAACAACTACCTTGTATGTGCCCCTTTTCACACCACAATGCTGGTGTGATGTGTGGTGCAGGTTACCCCCACCCCACCACCCCACCCCAAAATATCAAAAATTATATTTTCACTAACAATACACTAAAATCATTATTAACACAACATAACTTACACACTTCCTGTTAAATCTGAAAGATAAAACAGAAATGATTTAATAAATAAAGCTCAGGCGTGTGGTCACTGGTGTATGGCCCCAAACACAGACAGTGTGCATTTGTGGCCACTCGCCCAAGCCTGCACACCTGTCAAATTAGGACCTGAAGCTGTGTTCATACACCTCCAGCCACACAAACAAACCACTAGTTCACACTGTATGGGTCAGAGAACCCGTGAGAACGACCCCCTATTTTTTTTATTATTTTCTACATGTTTTATTATTTCTTTACATTTTTAATTATTTTTTAATATTTTTTAATTTTTTATATATTTCTTCACAACATTGTTAAGGGTGGCGGAAGCTTTGGTGAAGTGTCAGGGGTGTCCAAACAGATTCCTAATGTCTCACTTTTGGAAGAGAGAAAGGAACTGAGGACATAAATCCCTTAGTCCCTTTCTCTGCAGCATTAGCTGCACTAGACAGTGAATGAACAGAAAGCGTTCTGTACAAAGGCTTCTGCTCATTCACAAATTGAAGCATAGTAAACACAGTTTATTGTGGTTCAGTTATGAATGAACACAGTGAGTAATAAGTACTGATCACTCATTGTGTTCATCCATGAAAAGAAGGGGCCAGTAAATATTACACATTTACCTGCCCCTTTCGCCACTCTCCAACCTGAAACATCCTCATGTGTTTTTGCAGCAGCCGGTAGGAAAGGACAGGAGGGAAGCCAGAAGCGCTGCAGAGTGGGCACACAGGGGGTCCCAGGCAGCAGGGGGAAGAAAATGGTGCACAAGGATGGTGAATGGTGCTGTGGGGGGGCAATTACTGGAACCAATCACCCAGTATGGCTCTCTCTGCAGCAGGTGAAAGCCAGCAGGAGGAGGCGGAAGAGAAGCTGTCTTTCAGCTGCTGCAGAGAGAGCCATAGAGGGGATTGGTTCCCATAATTGCCCCCCATCGCACTGATCACCCTTCCTGTCCACATCTGATTTCCCCTGCTGCCTATGCCCCCCCCTGCTGATTTGGACCCTCTAAAGTAGTACCCCCTTATTGGCGGTCCTGTTTGCTAGGGAGATTCATCCTTCCTATTTATCCTGTTTACCATTATCACTGAGTGTGAAAGTAAAGAAAAATCCTAAATTTTGGATTGTTACCAGAATAGGAATAGAGGGGAAGTCTTCCAATGGGGACACTAGTTCTGGTCACCAGGTATTCCATAACTGTGGAGGGATTTCCTCTCACTTCTTGGGTTTTGGCTATGGGACAGGAAGTGAAGGGAAATATCCCCACTGGGACACAGATGGCAAAACGTGTTTATAATCCTCCTATACTATATATGAACCAATGGACTGCAGACATAGTACAGGAAATATCCAGAGAGTGTGGATGTACTACAGGAGATGATCAGAGACTGCAGACATAGTATAGGAGATGACCAGAGACTGCGGATGTACTACAGGAGATGATCAGAGACTGCGGATGTACTGCAGAGATGACCAGAGATTGCAAATGGACACTACAGGAGATGACCAGAGACTACAGACATAGTACAAAAAATGACCAGAGACTGCGGATGTACGGAGATGACCAGAGACTGCAGAAACAGTACAGGAGATGACCAGAGACTACTGACATAGTACAGGAGACAGAGACTACAGTACATGAGATGACCAGAGACTGCGGACATAGCACTGGAGATGACCAGAGACTGCTGACAGTACTGGAGATGACCAGAGACTGCGGACATAGTACAGGAGATGACCAGAGACTGCGGACATAGTACAGGAGATAACCAGAGACTGCGGATATAGTAAAGGAGATAACCAGAGACTGCGGATATAGTACAGGAGATGACCAGAGACTGCGGACACAGTACAGGAGATGACCAGAGACTGCGGACACAGTACAGGAGATGACCAGAGACTGCGGACACAGTACAGGAGATGACCAGAGACTGCGGACACAGTACAGGAGATGACCAGGAGACTGCGGACACAGTACAGGAGATGACCAGAGACTGCGGACACAGTACAGGAGATGACCAGAGACTGCGGACACAGTACAGGAGATGACCAGAGACTGCGGGCACAGTACAGGAGATGACCAGAGACTGCGGGCACAGTACAGGAGATGACCAGAGACTGCGGACATAGTACAGGAGATGACCAGAGACTGCGGACACAGTACAGGAGATGACCAGAGACACACAGTACAGGAGATGACCAGAGACTGCGGGCACAGTACAGGAGATGACCAGAGACCGGAGAGATGACCAGAGACTGCGGGCACAGTACAGGAGATGACCAGAGACTGCGGACACAGTACAGGAGATGACCAGAGACTGCGGACACAGTACAGGAGATGACCAGAGACTGCGGGCACAGTACAGGAGATGACCAGAGACTACGGACATAGTACAGGAGATGACCAGAGACTGCCGACATAGTACTGTGTTTTTACTTGATCATAATACTGACCCTTGGTCTGTCTATGAGGTCTGTGGAAAAGTATCCAGAGAAGCATATAGCATTTTGATGAAGTTCCATCCCACATATGGATTCAATGCTGGTTATATTTACCTTAGGGTAATTATGCATTTTTACAGTCGCAAGCTGTCACAGCCGGGTGCCCACACTAAAGATTCCGGCGCCAGAGAGAGAAGATGGCCGGTGGGGACACCGCTGGACCGAGGAACAGGCTCTGCCAATGAAATGACCAGAGCCTGTGAACCCGCAAGGAAGACAGGGTGAAGATAGAAGCCCTGTCTGCAGTGACAGTGTGCAGCTGGAGGGCTTCATTCTGGTATGTATGCGATGCATACTAGCACATTATGACATTATTTTGTGGGAGAAATGTACTACCGCTTTAACACAATGAACACACACATTAACAGATTTCCCTGGTGTGAATGGCCCCGCAATGGAAACTATAACCCCTGCCTTTATATCGTCAGGAGAGCGGATAGCTCTTTGTTTCAAGTGAGTGTGCTTTCTTTTTTTTCTTTCCATAATAATTTTTATTTGGTTTTACAAGTATAGTTACAACAATAAACAAACAAAAACAAAAATAGGACAGTGAAAAGCTACACAATATCACAGTATAGGTGCTGTGCTAAAGTTTTATCAAAGAGGAAAAAGGAAATATTGAGTGCGCTTTCTTTGTGTAAAACAAATACAGACTTTCCAGATTGTACCAGGTATTAATCATGGCATACATTATGAAACTATGCAGTGATGTAATCTTGATTTTCATAACACCAAAAAACTTGATCAGACACTGTGCAGTCAGCAAACCTTCTGATGATGACAGTTTGGAAGAGTTCTGTACCCAGTAGAAATCACAAACTTGCTGGTGCTACACGGAAACATTACAATTGCATAACATCCTTTTCCTGTAGATAGAAGCCTTCACAAGCTCGGTCCATGAGTCACAGCTGTCAGATGAATGTCCCTGGGAAATACACCCATTTCCAGTAGATCTTGTTCTGCAGTACTGACAGCCTCCACCTATCACCGATCTCCTTCCCAACCCAAAGCTGGATGAAGAAGTCCTCCCATCAGAACCAATCCTGGGGAGAAGGGACACCAGCACCCCCTGCATCACTGTGTATGAGCTCGTACCCGGCATTTACTACAGAATGCCACTACTCAGTTTCACGTCAGTACGACACAAGTGTACTTCTCATAATACCTATACTCTGTACATCTATAACTGAGGCGTTTTAAAGTAGGCCTTGCTACTTCTTTTTTATTTTAGATAGAGTGGAGGGGTATTAGAACCCTGTCAGGTTTTTATTTCTGTCTGTGTACCCATTAGGGAGATTCACCCTCTCTATTTGTACTGCTTACCGTTATCATTGAAAGTGAAAGTAAAAGATAATCCTACATTTTAAGTGGTCACCAGTAAAGGAATAGAGGGGAAATCTTCCAATGAGGTCACTAGTTCTGTTGACCCTGGTGACAACTGCAGAAACTAACCTCACTTTCAGATGTGGTTATAGGAATGGACAAGGGGCAAAAAAAAAAAAACAGAGTTATAACCCTCCCTTATGTTATCCAAAATGAAAAAAACTATGCTTTCAGTTCTACTTTAATAACTGTCTAAAGAAAGCTCAGTATTAGCTCATTAAATGGAAAAAGGGTTGCACGCCGTCAAGGGAATATTTAGCAAATGAAGCAACATATATATATAATGGGGTGCTGTATACTAAGACTCCCCCAAAGGAAAAGTCACAAATAATCGATCTCCAAATAATAAATAATTCAGTGCTTCACTATACGTTTTGACTGATTATATTGTCACAGTTAACTAATTATAGTATATACAGTATATTTTGACTGGAGTGTGCCCCTGACATACTCTGCTGGCAATATACAGAGGAAAGCTACTTAGAGCCGCCTTTCTCAATCCCCAGGGGAACCCCTAGAATAATTTTAGGAATTAGAAAACCTTACTACAACAAATTATTCTGGGATTAATGGGAAAATGCTCCTCCTTACACTGGTGATCAGTAGGAAGAATGCCCCCCCCCATATATTGGTGATCAGTAGGAAGAATGCTCCCCCCCCCTTAAACTGGTGATTAGTGGGGAACATGCCCTCCTTACATTGTTGATCAGTAGGAAGAATGCCCCCCAAACATTGGTGATCAGTAGGAAGAATGCCCCCTTCCATACATTGATGATTAATAGAAAGAATGCCTCCTTACATTTCTATACCTGAGAAAGAATGCCCCCCTTACATTGCTGATCAGTGGGAAAAGTGTCCCCCTTACATTTGTGATAAGTAGGAAGAATGCCCCCTTACATTGCCAATCAGTAGGAAGAATTTCCCCTCATACATTGATGATCCGTAGGAAGAATACCCCCAGTACATTGGTGATTAGAAGAAGAATGCCCCCCATACATTCTTGATCAGTAGGAAGAAAGCCCCCCTCCCTGTACATCGATGATAATTAGGAAGAATGCCCCCTTCCATACACTGATGATTAATAGGAAGAATGCCCCCTTAAATTGTTAATCCTTAGGAAGAATGTCCCCCTTACATTGCTGATCATTGGGAAAAGTGTCCCCCTTACATTTGTGATCAGTAGGAAGAATGCTTCCCCATTGTGGTCAGATTTCCACTTTTATGAACAGCTAAAAAGATAATTGTAGTGAAACTGCTGGCTTTCCCATGTACTATTTGCCCTGGAAGTATGAAGGCACCATCAAATGAAAGGTCCGTCCACCACAGGAACCCCCAAAATCCTCTGGAGAAATTCTTCCACAAAACCATGGAAGAGAGGCATAGCTTACTACTGCTGTGTGTGTCTATAGATTCACACAACCTGGCTGAGGAGTGCACAAGCATGGGTACCTCATTAGCACTTTTTCTCATCCCCTCACTTCCATTTGTTTGGAACAAGCAATGCATGCTAGTTGCGATCATGTGCCCTGCTCTATGTACACTGTGTTACCATGTATGCTATTTCATCATGGACAGCAAGTTAGAACAAACAGCAAGCGCAATATTCTGCGTGAAAACTGGGCAAATCTGCCACAGAGACATTTGCCATGATTCGGCAAGTTTATGGTGATGCTGCAATGAGACGTTCTAGGTGTTTTGAGTGGCATGCATACTTCAAGAGCAGAAGAACATCACTGGAAGACGGCGAGAGATCAGGAAGACTTCAATGAGCTCAAACCCCGAAAATGCCCTCTTACCGAAGATGAAGACCCAGCTCATAGGTCAACGTTTTGACAACATTGCGGAGATCCAGCGATTTGCCCAGTTTCACACAGAATTTAACATTTGCTCCTCGTTCTAACTTGCTGTCCATGATGAAGAAGCAGACGTGGTAATGCAACATGGTAAGAATAGCACCTGCTGAACAGCTCCTGATGTACACAGGATGATGTATTTTGGCACACTGACTTATGAAGGTTGGTGCTCTCTGTGACTGAGCATGTAGCCTGGTGTTGCCATCTGTTGGCAAGTTACAAAACTAGTCTCAAAACGTTTTGATACCACCTCATACAGCGGAATCATGGGATTGTGTTAAATTTAGAATAGATACTTGAATAGAATATACATTTTTTTTAACCAATTTAAGTCCATCCTATAGCAGATTTACTGCTACAGGGTGGATGTCCTGTGCAAAATCTCATATATAAACGTGCTTTTGCACTCCTGCCATAGGGGGCGCGCACTCCACTTCTGTTGTGATTGGACACAGCAGAAGCCTAACAACAGGTGCTGGCCAATGGATGAACACCGGCATCCATCGATTGTTGGGGAAAAAAAATTACCGTATTTTCCGGCGTATAAGACGACTTTTTACCACTTGAAAATCTTCTCAAAAGTTGGGGGTCGTCTTATACGCCGGTAACAGCATGCATGCTGACACTTTTTAGGGGGGCAGCGCGGTGCCGCCGCCGCCCCCCCCCCTTCCAACAGAAGGGAAACTAAGTACAGGGGTGGGCAGGGGCTGCTGTCTCTTACCTGGCTCCGGTCCCACGATGATCCGGTCCAGGAAGCGCGGCTGCTCCTTCCTTCGGTTCGTCCACTGGATGTTCGCGTGGCTGCTCGGCTCCGCCTTCTCACCGGTGATTGGCCGCCAGAACTGTAGCTCAGGAAAGGCACACAGGCGGCCAATCACCGGCGAGGAGGCGGAGCTGAGCGGCCCCGCGAAAATCGAGTGGAGATGCAGGTAAGTGTGCCGTGCTTAGGTGCTGCTGCAACCACATATGCTGGCTGCAGCAGCACCATACTGGAACAAGGGTCAGCAAGTGTCAGTGGGAGGAATAGTGCCCCATCGTTGGTGTCACTGATACCAATGATGGAGCATTATTCCTCCCACTGACACCAACGATGGGGCACTTTTCCTCCCCCCCCCACT